TCAAAGATGGGGTATATTATATATGTATACATATAGTTATTATATTGCAGGTGGGACGATTATGCCTTACCTGTGTATATTACGGAGATGTATAGACAGTTATGCCGCACCGGTGTATACTAAAGATATATATATATATATATATATTATACTTGTAGGTAGGATGGTTTATTACCCACCAAGATTGGTGATGAGCGTCGATTGAAAGATTGTTGTGATTGAATGTTAATGACATGGTAGTTTCATATGAGTGTTGTGATTGAACAATGACAAGATTGAATGTTGCGACTGAATGACAAGATGGAATGTTGTGGCCGGATTTTTCTTAATTTGAAAGATTGGGTGCCAAGAGTTATTACATATGATCTTTGATTCACTCATTATAATTATTTGGAAAAAAATTTTCTCCCTCTCAACATGAAATTTTTTTAAATGTGGATATTTGAACATGGAGCCATTTATTTATCTCCTTGAAAATCATTTGTGAAGAAACTCTTGTGTGACGTTGCTTCCCTTCCGCTCACCTTGTTATTTATATTCTCATTGTTCCGTGTTAGACTTGCTCCTTTCTTTATTTTTATTTTTTTAATGGGTGATCAATTGTTAAAGTGCTTTATTATAAGCTATCATTCCTATAAAGAGAATAGACTGCAAATGCATAGCTGAATAGTATTATGGAGTTCCGTGACGTTGTGACTATTATGGTGGCGTTAGAGTCAAGATGTAATGTTGTCCAATATAATAATCATGGTTTCGTACAAAGCTTGTGTTCCAATTTGATTTATCATTTTTTGACATCTGAATCTAGTATGAAAGGTTAAAAATTGGAAGAAAAAAAATTTCTTATGAGATTCTTTTGTGTTGGGGAGCTAACCAGTTGAGGTTTGCTAGGCTAAGTGAGATTAAATTAGCTTAACCTAATCGTTGGTTGTGACTCAAATTTTGGGTCTTGATAATAACTTTCATCCAATATAGATGAATTTTGGAAAATGTATATTCTTTATTTAATATGGATACATTGTATCCCTTTGGTCATTAATGATTGAAGGTATGTACGCAGAGATTTAGCTCACAACAATGTACATATATTTAATGCTTGAAGGGAAATTTCACCCTAAGATAGCTATAAGCTCAGAGCATCTAGGATCATAAATTTATTTTTTATTTGATGTTTCCTTTCAGCTTTTAAAGACGGTGTAATATTACCCTACTGTTAATGAAAATTGACTTTGACTATTATCTGACTGGAAAATTACAAAAAAGAAAAAAAAAAAGACCTCAAAAGTTAAAGAAAAAGAGCCCAAAAAATTAAAGAAAAAGACCAAAAAAATCCATATAAGTCTTAATCCTTTTCTATAATATTTTGGTCAATTAATGATCAAAGTTAATATTTGTTTATGATAGAAGAGAATAATACTCCACTTCATACACTTAACCATTTATTAAATTCTACCATGGTAATTAAAACACAAGTAATCTTTACAAAGGTTCACCACAGTATAACTGTAGTAAAAGATTTCAAGAGAAATGGATAAAAGTATAAAATTTCATTTAAAATTGGGATCCCAAAATCATTTCAATTCCAATAACAAGTTTCAAGATAATTTTACCCTTACAAATTAGACTAATAAATCTTTGGAATGCATGAAAAATTATTGAGGGTTGAAAACAAGTCAAATGGGGTCAAATGAAGTCAAAATGCCCAAACTGACACAATCTGTCACGGCTAATAGTGTTGGTCGTGGCTAACATTTGTTGTATCATGCGTTGCAGCCAACACACCTTTCATCACTGCACGCAGGGCGTGACAGCACAACTTCTCAAAGTTCTACTTAGATAACCTGATCTTAAGATATAAAATATTGCATCTAGTCCGAAAAAAATACCACTAGTTATTAAATAAGTTACTACCAATCTTGAAATTAAAATAAATCTAATATAGATATATATATATATATATACACGTAAGTAATTTCGCCGACTTCAAATCCATATTTAAAACATTTTTTAATTACAATATGAAAAGGAAAAGGATTGAAAAAAAAAGGAAGGGGAATTAATTCATAAAAATCTCAAAAAATTAAATAAGTCAAAATTCATGGGGAAAAAAAAAACTCTTTCATTGTAGGAAACGGAAAATCATGTCACATATTCAATGTGTATCGTATACTCTCTTCCTTTTTATTTGTAGGAGGAAAAAATCATATCAAATACTTTAAGAAAAACAGTTAATTATATTAATTGTGTCTGAAAATAAAAAAACTATACTATAATACCCTTTATTCATTGTGTTAATCAAGCTTTCATTAATTGTTTCTTATGACTATGATAAAATTATTATGAGAGATAGTTTAGAAAATTTACAATAAATGCCCATTGAAAAATGTGATTTTACTTACATAAAAGACAAATTAAAAATGATAGTTTCTCTTATAAATAAAAACGGATGGAGTATTTCCAAAAATTGAAACCAGCATTTATTTCTTAATGGTCTGTGCATTGTATATGTGCTTTACCCAAAACAAGAGTCTCAGTAATTATATCAGCTAGCTCTCTTTCTTTGTTTTTTTTTCCTTTTTCTAGTCCTTAATTTCATCCATCCTTTTCCTTTGGCGAGATTCTCAAGAGAGATAACAAGGGGGGGGGGGAGAAGAAGAAAAATAGAAAATTTGAATACGTAAATTTTATTGAAACCAAAAAAATGATGGACGCTTTTTCATCTTAAAAGATGACAAGTGGTAGATAGAAAGAGAATTAAATAGGGGGGAACAAAAAACCTTCATTACTGTGTGCGGAGTGAGCATTCTACTAACCCCTGGAATTAAATACATTTTTGGCTAGAAAGTATTAAATAAATTTAAATGAAAGTAAAGCATATTTAATTAGTGCATTGCATTGTAGAGTTTAAGCAATGAAACCGCATGCATATTTATTAGTCATAAATAGTAAGATTATTAGAGCTTTTGTATTACTTCCTCCGTCTCAAATTATAAGATATTTTTAGATAAAATCTTAGATACTAATAAAGCTCATTAAATATACTTTACAACCTTACTTTTTCAAGAAAAAAATATAAACTTTCAAAAATATCCTTCATTTTAATCCTCCAATGGTAAAAGAATATTCAAGAGAGATAATATATGAAAAAGATAATATTAAAAAAATATCATTAATGAAACCTTATTTTTATCAAAATGTCTTATATTTTAGAATCTTGAATCTTTCTTAGAAGTGTTTTATAATTTAGGATAGAGGGAGTATTATATATAGACGATTGTATTTATTAGTGACCCAAAAAAGATCATATTTATTATCTTTTTTAATAAATAATTAATGTTTATTTTAAATAATAATGCCAAATTCTGTAAATATTTTTTTTTTGATATAGCAACATTTATTAATGATAGGACTCAGACATTTAACTCATAATTCATGTGATATAATTTGTATAACCTAGTGCTTGCCACATTTAAAAAAATACAAATTCTCGTGTCATTTTTTTTTCGAAACATTAATCAAATCTTAACAAGGATAACCAATCAAGCATCAATAATGTAAACAACATATTCATTCAATCACTAAATTCTCTGTCAAACTAACCAACCACTTAAACTTTAAAATAGTAAGGACTACGTAGTTTTCTAGAATAATTTATTGCTTTTCTAATCCAAAAATATGCTATAGTAAAAAAATTATTTCGAAAATTAAATAAAATATATTTAGAACATAAATAAAATAACCAAATTGTGAAAAAAACACTAGAAAATCACAAGAAAGAAAATAAAAAATAAATGAAAAGAATGTCTGAAATCAAATTATTTGCTTGAGGAATCGAGGAAAGAATAAAAAACAAGTGGTAATTATACAAGCAAAAATGAGCATTTTGCAATCACGCAATCCCTAATGTTGTGCCCAGTTGGAGTGGGACCATATGATTAAATGCTGGCTTATAAACAATCACCATTGCTATATCACTCTCACATCTCAAAACAACAGAAAGAATAAATCAAAAGAATTGAGGGAGAGAAATAAGAGTCAAGCAATCGAATTGAAGACATGGTCAATGATATTAAGCGTTAGATAGAGAAGGCTTCCCAGGGAAACAAAAAGCTTGTCGAATTGGAAAAATTCTCAACATCTCTCTTTATCTAATTTGTGAGTTTTTCCATCATCTGCTAAATCTCTATTATTTTGTATGGTTGTTTGATCACTCATTAATTTTCGTCAACCTTTTCCTGTACTGGTCGTGATTTGTTCGAATTTGAAATCGGGAAAATTGATAGGAAAGAAGTGTAGAATTATTGGAAATCCAAATGATGTGCAATAATCACTTCGAGGCTATTTCTTAAGGCTAAAAACCTAAAGTTCTATGATGTTGAAATTGATTTTATCATTTTTATGTGTTTGATGTTTAAATCTTCATTCCTTCCTTTGATGTGTTTCTTGGGCCAACTTTAGAGATCTGATTTTAGGAGCTCTAATTTTTAGTACTCTGTTCCTCAATTTTTAACCCAATTTATTTTCCATTATATGGTACAATGACCTCAACACTTAAATTCATACTCAATTCTATCTTTCCACGTCCAGTAAATAAAAATTGTCTGGAATTTGTTTTTACTTGATGTGAAATTTGTGTGACTGTTGAACTTTTTATTTCATGATTGAGCTTCCAATCAATATAATTTTGTGTTCATAACTATCCTATAGGCAATGTGATAGAGATCACCGTAACTCTAGGCAACATTATAGATATATATTTCTATTTATTATAATGTACAGGTATAATAGGAAAAGAATAACTGTCTCGCAATATTATAGGGATGCTAGCGGATTTGGTGCTCCATAACTGATTCCATAAAGCTGTATATATATAGTATTCATTGTGATAATAATATGTGAATAATTCTCTCCATGAAATTTGTCATGGTATCAGAGCACGGTCAAGATCTTGAACCGTGAAAATAATTTTGCAAGCAGAATCAACAGCGAATAGTGAGACAATGGCAGCGGAGGCTCAGAATAAGGGTCCAGATGCAAACTCGCCATTTTTTCTTCATGCTTCAGATAATCCGGGGCAAGTTTTTGTCAGTGAACTACTGAATGAGAATAACTACATGGAATGGCAAATCGACATAACAAATGCGTTGGTGGCCAAGAACAAAATGGGGTTCGTAGATGGTTTGATCAAGCAACTAGAACTCGAGTCTAATGCACTGTCTTACTGGATTCGATGCGATGCTATGGTGAAGGGATGGCTCAAGAGTGGTATGACCAAAGAGCTTCGCACGAGTGTTAGATATGCAAAAACGGCTCATGAAATCTGGACTGATCTAGCAGAATGTTTTGGAAAGGGAAGTGCGCCGCGGGCTTATGAATTGAGATGCGATATTGCGTATTTGAGATAGTAGAGACAATCAGTTACAGTTTATTATACAAAACTCAAGGCCTTGTGGGATGAAATATGGACCATTGCACCCATACCAAGGTGCACCTGCAATGGCTGCACATGTGGTGTAGCTAGAGACGTAGAAGTCATACGAGACAATGAACAAGTATATGACTTTCTTATGGGCCTCGGTGAGGAGTTTGCAACTGTGAAGACGCATATACTGAGCACAAAACCACTCATGAACCTAAGTGCAGCCTACCACTTAGTGGTAGAGGATGAAAAACAAAGGCAAGTTTCAGCCACCCAGAGAAACGGAACTGAGATAATGGCATTCCAGGTTCGAGCGAAATCAGAGAAGGATGATCGAGATTCTAGAGAACTGCAGAAGGAGCGGATTCAATGTGGTCATTGCCACAAGCGAGGCCATACTGAAGAAAGGTGTTTTGAGATTCATGGATATCCACCAAATTGGAAACGACCCAACAGAGAAAAGAAATGGAATGACAAACGAGGTGGACCGAGAGTAGCGTTCATGAATTCCGATGAGAGTCCTATATCTGGTTTGAGTTCAGCACAGTATGATGGCTTACTCAAAGCCATTAGTGAAGGCTTGAGTAATAGTCAAATCTCATGAGGCAACAACAACAATCAGCGTCAATCTGTAGCCAATATGGCAGGTATGTTTCCAACTAATCTTACGAAGCCTTGGGTCATAGATTCTAGAGCGAATGAGCATATATTGTGTGAAGACACGCCTTTAATGGGTGAGAAGGGTGGCTGGCATGCACCAGTTCAAATCCCAAATGGGGAAGGGATTCCAGTTAAATCTTCTGGGAACTTACGGCTCAAAGATGGGTTGTTGCTCAAGGGTGTCTTGAAAATTACAGATTTTAAATGCAATCTTTTGTCTGTTGGCCGATTAACTCATGATGATGATTATGCCTTGCTTTTCATTAAGGATCTTTGCTTGATTCTGGACCATCGTACGAACAATTTGATTGGAGTGGGGAGATACCATAATGGTCTCTACATTCTAGAATCACAGAAAGGAGAACGAGTAGCACTAATGGTGAATAAGAGTTCTAAGGATGAGGAGCTGTGGCATTGGAGGCTGGGTCATGCCTCAACTGAAAAGATGAAGTGACTCAATTTATTTTCAACTACAAATAAAGAGACTCACCCTTGTGATTCTTGTAATAAGGCCAAACTTGCTAGGCTACCTTTTGTTGACAGTTCCATTAAAAGTATTTCTTGTTTTGATTTAATTCACTGTGATATTTGGGGTCCTTATAAGGTTCCTTCATTGACTGGAGCTCAATATTTTCTTACCATTGTTGATGATTTTAGTCGAGTTACTTGGGTATACTTGATAAAACATAAATCTGAAGTGAGCCAACTTCTAATTAATTTCATAAATATGGTAGAGAAGCAATACGGTGTGCAGGTGAAACAAATTAGAATAGATAATGGCTTGAAATTTAAGTCTTCGCAGCTCATCCACTTTTATGAAGAGAAGGGCATTGTTTCTCAAACTTCGTGTCCTTACATGCCTCAACAGAATGGTGTGGTTGAACGCAAGCACTGATTTATTATTGAGATGGCCTGCACTTTACGACTACATGCGAACTTACCAAAGACATTCTGGGGTGAGTGTATTCAAGCTGCTGTCCATATTTGCAACCGGCTACCCACAAAGGCAACAGGCAACAAAGTACCATACGAACTCTTGACAGGTAAACAAGCCACTTATGGACACCTTCGAGCATTTGGATGCTTAACCTACATGCGTGACCTCACTAATATAGACAAATTTGATGTAAGCGGGCGACAATGTGCTTTTATCGGCCACCCTATTGGTCAAAAGGGCTATAAAGTGTATGATCTTGAGCTTAAACAAGTATACGTCTCTCGTGATGTGATTTTCTTTGAACAGCATTTTCCTTTTCGCCACTTGGGGTCTCTCTCGTCCGACTAGCGTACCTTTACCCAAGCACTCAGCCCAATTGATGATGATGGGGCTCTTGATCACCTAGAGCTTAATTGTGACAACACTGTTATGGCTCCACCCTCTGTTCCTCATGACTCTTCTTTATTTACCACCAAACTAGAAGCTTCTCGGTCTCCAAGGGCAGAAGGTGCGCTAGGGGTACATGTCAGACGAAGCCAGCGTACACGAACCATCCCTGAGCATTTGAAGGACTGTGAGATAGACTTACCACCCTCCTTGCTGCATTCGACATCGGGTGCCTCAAGCACAGCTCATCCCATTGCACAGTATGTCAGTCATGACAGTTTTTCAAATAAACACCAAGCTTTTCTTGCTGCTGTGGATGGCATTAAGGAACCTCGAAGTTACAAGGAGTCTGTACAATATAAAGAATGGCGTGACGCCATGAAGAAAGAAATAGAGGCTCTAGAGAAAAATGGTACGTGGATGCTAGAGAAGCCGCCAAAAGATAGAAATATTGTTGACTCAAAATGGGTGTTCAAGGCCAAGTGTAAACCGAATGGTGAATGCATTGCCAAAGCAAGACTTGTTGCAAGAGGTTTTACTCAAGAAGAAGGAATTGACTATCATGAGACCTTTGCACCTGTGGCAAAACTTATCACCGTAAGAACCTTATTAACAGTGGCATCAAAGAAGAAGTGGTTTGTACACCAACTCGACGTAAATAATGCCTTCTTGCATGGCGAGCTAGACGAAGAAATATATATGAAGGTACCAGAGGGCTTCACACAAGAAGAAGATGATAGAGTATGTAGGCTTCGGAAGTCCCTTTACGGTTTGAAGCAGGCATCAAGAAATTGGTATGCCAAGTTTACTGGTGCTTTGAAGGCTGTAGGATTTATGCAATCACGTGCTGATCACTCTATGCTTGTATATAATCAAGGTGGTGTGTTTCTCGTAGCCTTAATATATGTAGATGATGTCCTCCTAGCTGGAACACACCTCAGAAAGATTGAACAAGTCAAGAAGTACCTGGATCATAAATTTTCAATTAAGGATCTCGGCAATATCAAGTATTTTCTTAGGATAGAAGTGGCAAGAACTCCGCATGGCTTTGTTCTTAATCAAAGAAAATATGCATTAGATCTACTAAGAGAAGTTGGAATGGAAGGGTGTCGACCTTGTGACTTCCCAATAGAAGAGAATTGTAGACTAATAGTTAGGGAAGAAGACGAGGATGCTGAGAATGCAAATAAGAGCGTTGATGGAAGCAGATATAGAAAGTTAATTGGGAAACTGATGTATTTAACAGTCACACGACCGGATCTTGTTTATGCTGTTAACATTCTCAGTTAATTTTCATCACACCCTAAACAAATTCATCAAGATGCTGTTGAACGAGTTTTAAGGTATCTGAAAACCACGCCTGGCCAAGGCATTCTGCTGCGTAGTGATGGTGATCTCGAGTTAGAGGCTTTTTGTGATGCTGACTAGGGAAGATGTCCAATTAACAGACGTTCTCATACAAGGTATTTAGTGAAGTTTGGGGGTTCCCCCATATCATGGAGAACCAAGAAACAAACAGTTATTTCACGTTCTTCAGCCGAGTCAGAATATAGGGCCATGGCAAATACTGTAAATTGATTTGGCTTTGGTGGTTGATGAAAGAATTAGGAGTGGAACAAAGGTATGCAACCCGGCTCTACTGTGACAATCAGGTTGCACTTCATATCATACGAAATCCAGTTTACCATGAGCGGACCAAACATGTTGAAATGGATTGTTACTTTGTTCGGGAGAGATATGACAGCAAGGAGATTCAACCGCTGAAGATTTGGACAAGAGAACAATTGGCAGATATCTTTACAAAACCGTTGGGCAAGGAAAGATTCGCACACTTCAAGGGCAAGTCGGGCATTGTCAACCTCCATGCACCAACTTGAGGGGGCATGATAGATAGAGATCACCGTAACTCTAGGCAACATTATAGATATATATTTCTATTTATTATAATGTACAGGTATAATAGGAAAAGAATAACTGTCTCGCAATATTATAAGGATGCTAGCAGATCCGGTGCTCCATAACTGATTCCATAAAGCTGTATATATATAGTATTCATTGTGATAATAATATTTGAATAATTCTCTCCATGAAATTTGTCACAATGCTATGTTGATAATATTCCAATGACTGATTTGAATAAAGATAATTAAGTGTACTTTTGTAAAACTTTATTAATGATTGTAAGATGTTGTCAGGGTCCTTCTGATTGTGTTTTGATAGAATTATCAAACTCAGTTGAGCTAGAGAAGAATTGTGCATCAATACTATTCATCCTATGATGGACCTCTCAAAAAATAAGTGCATCAAGAATGAAGATGGAGAAGTTAAAACAATGATCAATTCAAGTTTGCTTTCCCGTCAACTTGGTAGGGACCTTTCAATAAATTGTCTTATTCGATGCTCAAGATTCGATTATGCAACACTTGCCATATTAAATAATAGTTTTCAATCTCTTATTAAGAGTGGACTATTATACAGTCTGAGAAGAAAGGCAAGTATAATAGAGCATTGGATTTACTACTCCTATAACCCCCTAGAATGGGAGGCCTTTGACCCAAATGGATGCCATTGGATGAGATTGCCCATGATGCCTTCAAATGAATGTTTTATGTGTTTAGATAAGGAGTCTTTAGCTGTTGGTACAGAGCTTCTTGTTTTTGGAAGAGATATATTGTCTCCTATCATTTACAAGTATAGCATTTTAACAAACATTTGGTCCTCAAATATGACAATGAATACTCACAGATGCTTATTTGCCTCTGCAAGCCTCCGAGAAATTGCCATTATAGCTGGGGGATGTGATCCATTAGGTAACATCTTAGACTCAGCCGAGGTTTATAACTCAAAAACAGGAAGATTTGAGAATCTTCCAAGCATGAATAAGGCAAGAAAAATGTGTTCTAGTTTTTTCATGGATGGAAAGTTTTATGTAATTGGTGGAGATGATCAAGACATGATGCAACTAGCATGTGGAGAGGAATTTGACCCCCTGACAAGAACATGGCGAGTGATACCCAACATGTTCCCTAGACAAATTGATGAACTTGTGAATGGAACATCCCATGCTACCATGGCACCTCCTTTAGTTGCTGTTGTGAATAACATATTGTATGCTGCAGATTATGAAGAACAAGTGGTGAAGAGATATGACAGAACAAAACTCATGGCTCAATATTGGAGGACTTCCTGAGCGGGTGGCTGCAATAAATGGTTGGGGATTAGCCTTTAAGGCTTGTGGAGATATTTTAATCTTCATTGGTGGTGTACATGGAAGAATGATTGAAGTATATTCTTGCATCCCAGATGAGGAAGGTTCACTACAATGGAACCTACTTGCCAGCAAACAGTCAGGGAACTTTGTGTATAATTGCACTGTAATGGGATGTTAAAGCTTTTTTTTTTTTTCTGTCTTGAGTATCAATAGTGATTTTCAAAGGTATATCAACTGTCTTTTCATTTCAAGTAGATAAAAATGCTTTAATTTGTAATCTCTACCCTTCTTTTGGATTTCATTAGGATAATTTTAGAATTTTGACCTGTGTTCGTGCTGATTTCCTTTTATTGCTTTTAGTAATTTCATTTTTTATACACTTCAAAGATGAATCTCAGTGAAATATTTG